GTCGTTCATTGTTGTCATCAAACGCGTGACATGTCACGGAATGATGGAATGATAGGCCGTCTCCTTTGTTTCTTGGTTTTGCTGCAAACCCGAGGGGATCACATTAATTTCAAAGAAGCCCAAAGATAATTTCGGAAAAAAAATTTCCGAGCAAAAAACAATTCCAAAATTCCGCTGAGCAATGGCAAGCCGAGGCGGCGAAGGTAGAGTTCTTCAAGCTGCAAAGCGGAAGGGCAGCACCTCTCCTTTGACCGCGTGCGCAGCCTCCTCGTGGACACGCTGACAAGCACCGTCACTGAGTCCAACAAGACCTCGGTAGGTGGCGGCTTTCAGCCGCTGTCGTGGTGGGCTCAGCACAGGTACGACGTGGAAGCCGTGGAGGTTCATGGGGAGCAGAAGTCCCACGACGTGTTCGGCGCTGTCTATTATGTGGGCATCGAGCACAAGAGCAAGGACAAGGTCAAGGAAACCATCCACTCGCAACTGCTTTCCCTTGAGCGGCAGGTCAAGAAGCGTGCCCCCAAGCACAAAAACCTGCAGCTCCAGCTGGGGAAGCCGCGCTTCTCTGCCTGCCGAGGCGGCAGCTCCAAAGGCTCCGGAGAGCACGGCCGCCAAGGAAAGCACGAGCGCTGCGCTGAAAAGCGCAGAGGGCGAGGAACGCAGCGGCGCCGACTACAGCCTGGATCTTGACAAGGAGCTCGAGGCTTTGCTCGAAGTGGAGCTGGAGGACTGGACCTCTCCGAGGACGAGCCCTGCACTGGGACCGGCAAGTAAGCCCGCCGCAAGTGCAAGCACGCAGACAAGGAGGCGAAGCAGGCAGCCAAGCTGCAGGCTAAAGCTGCCGCTAAGGCCAAAGCAGCCGCCGCAAAGCAGGAGAAGAAGGGCGCAGCCAGCGCCTTGCGCCTGGCAGCTGCCGCGCTACCAAAGCTTACTGCTTTGCTCGCTCGCCTCGAGGACTGCCAGGAGCGCCTCCCCAAACTGCAGCCGACGGCAGCGCAGGAGGCCGTGCAAGACCTGGCTGGAAGCAGCCTCGCAGTGCGCAGGCGGCCGCCGCAAGGCTGCTCTGGACTTTGACGCGGCCCTCTTGAAGATGAGGCTGAAGGCTTGGGGCGACCTTGCTACGAGACTGCCCAAGGACGCGCCCAAGAAGAAGGCCGGGCGCAAAGCAGCCGAAGGCGGCGCCTGAAAGACTGACGCTTTTGCCGCTGCCCCACATGCCATCCATGGTGGAGCTGCTGCAGAAGGCCACTTGGCAATTTTATGGTCGACTACTTGCTCTTGCCAACGTGACTGCTTTCATATATATGTTGCTCGCCCAGGTCTCGCAGACGCAGACGTCCTTGACATGCATGCGCACCAGGCAGAACGCAGTGTGGACGGAGAGCTTCTGTTTCGCTTATGTTGGGGTTATAGCTATATATTGGGATAATGGAAAATAAAATGAAAACTACTATAATATTGGAGTTATATAAAGGTATTATATCACGTCCACAAGCGGAGCAACAGCAAGTCGTCAGAAAAAACGCCATGAAAGCCCCGACTCAAACGTTCGCTTCTCC